ATGTCCAGGTAACTTTGCAAACAAAGGCCTATAAATAAAAACTACACGGTAGAATTTTAAACTTGGCCATATTGTAGATATTTTTATTGTCTATAACATATCCAAAATCTGGAGGTGGCACAAAAAAATAAATGATAGAAAATCATCGACAAAGTCGGATGACACGAATGCATGTAATATGATCTTATATAATTACGTTAAGAATTCCGGTTCTAAAACAAACAAAGCCTTATAAATAAAAAACTACACGGTAGAATTTTTTTAAACTTGGCCAGAATATAGATAATTATATTGTCTAAAATATATCCAAAATCTGGAGGTGGCACAAAAAAATAAATGATAGAAAATCATCGATAATTCGGATGACACGAATGCGCGTAATATAATCTTATATAATTAACTTCCTATATCCATGTAATTTTTCAAACAAAGGCCTATAAATAAAAAACTACACGGTAGAATTTTTTTAAACTTGGCCAGAATATAGATAATTATATTGTCTAAAATATATCCAAAATCTGGAGGTGGCACAAAAAAATAAATGATAGAAAATCATCGATAATTCGGATGACACGAATGCGCGTAATATAATCTTATATATTTAAGTTAAGAATTCCGGTTCTTTAACAAACAAAGCCTTATAAATAAAAAACTACACGGTAGAAATTTTTTAAACTTGGCCATATTGTAGATATTCTTATTGTCTATAATATATCCAAAATCTGGAGGTGGCACAAAAAATAAAAGAAATAATATTCCTTGAGAATGTACCTGGTATAAACCGTGAAGTTGGCACCACATTCGACAAACAGCTCTATAGCTAAAACTACACGGTAGAATTTTTTAAACTGGCCAGAATATAGATAATTATATTGTCTAAAATATATCCAAAATCTGGAGGTGGCACAAAAATAAATGATAGAAAATCATCGATAAAGTCGGATGACACGAATGCGCGTAATATAATCTTATATATTTAAGTTAAGAATTCCGGTTCTTAACAAACAAAGCCTTATAAATAGAAAACTACACGGTAAAATTTTTAAACTGGCCATATTTAGATATTCTCATTGTCTAAAATATATCCAAAATCTGGAGGTGGCACAAAAATAAATGATAGAAAATCATCGACAAAGTCGGATGACACGAATGCATGTAATATGATCTTATATAATTACGTTTAGAATTCCGGTTCTAAAACAAACAAAGCCTTATAAATAAAAAACTACACGGTAGAATTTTTTTAAACTTGGCCAGAATATAGATAATTATATTGTCTAAAATATATCCAAAATCTGGAGGTGGCACAAAAAAATAAATGATAGAAAATCATCGACAAAGTCGGATGACACGAATGCGCGTAATATAATCTTATATAATTAACTTCCTATATCCATGTAATTTTTCAAAGAAAGGCCTATAAATAAAAAACTACACGGTAGAAATTTTTTAAACTTGGCCAGAATATAGATAATTATATTATCTAAAATATATCCAAAATCTGGAGGTGGCACAAAAAAATAAGTTGTAGAAAATCATCGACAAAGTCGGATGACACGAATGCGCGTAATATAATCTATATAATTAACTTCCTATATCCATGTAATTTTCAAACAAAGGCCTATAAATAAAACTACACGGTAGAATTTTAAACTTGGCCAGAATATAGATAATTATATTGTCTAAAATATATCCAAAATCTGAGGTGGCACAAAAAATAAATGATAGAAAATCATCGATAATTCGGATGACACGAATGCGCGTAATATAATCTTATATATTTAAGTTAAGAATTCCGGTTCTTTAACAAACAAAGCCTTATAAATAAAAAACTACACGGTAGAAATTTTTAAACTTGGCCATATTGTAGATATTCTTATTGTCTATAATATATCCAAAATCTGGAGGTGGCACAAAAATAAAAGAAATAATATTCCTGAGAATGTACCTGGTATAAACCGTGAAGTTGGCACCACATTCGACAAACAGCTCTATAGCTAAAAAACTACACGGTAGAATTTTTTAACTTGGCCAGAATATAGATATTGTTCAAAATATTGATCTAGGTAAAAAATAATGATAGAAAATCATCGATAAAGTCGGATGACACGAATGCGCGTAATATAATCTTATATATTTAAGCCAAGAATTCCGGTTCTTTAACAAACAAAGCCTTATAATAGAAATACACGGTAAAATTTTAAACTGGCCATATTGTAGATATTCATTGTCTCAATATATTCAAAATTGAGTAAAAATGATAGAAAATCGACAAAGTCGGATGACACGAATGCATGTAATATGATCTTATAAATTACGTTTAGAATTCCTGTTCTAAAACAAACAAAGCCTTATAAATAAACTATACACGGTAGAATTTTTAAACTGGCCAGAATATAGATTATATTGTCTGTGTAATATTCAGTACCTGGATAATGCAATGATAGAAAAACATCGACAAAAATGACACGAATGCGCCGCAATATAATCTTATATTTGCCAAGAATTCCGGTTCTTTAACAAACAAAGTTTTATAATAAAATAATAGAAATTTTTAAACTTGGCCATATTGTAGATATTTCATTGTTCATATTCAGCTTGAATAAAATAATGATAGAAAATCATCGATAAAATCGGATGACACGAATGCGCGTAATATAATCCTATATTTAAGTTAAGAATTCCGGTTCTTTAACAAATAAAGTTTTAAATAAAATCATTAGTAGAAATTTTTAAACTTGGCAATATTGTAGATATTCTTATTGTTCTATTATATATTCAAATTGGAGGCACAAAAAATAATGATAGAAAATCATCGACAAAGTCGGATGATTAGTCGTAATTACGACAAAGTCGTAATTATATAAGATCATATTACATGCATTCGTGTCATCCGACTTTGTCGATGATTTTCTACAACTTATTTTTTTGTGCACTCTCCAGATTTTGGATATATTTTAGAAAATATAATTATCTATATTCTGGCCAAGTTTAAAAATTTCTACCGTGTAGTTTTTATTTATAGGCCTTTCTTTAAAAAATTACATGGATATAGGAAGTTAATTATATAAGATTATATTACGCGCATTCGTGTCATCCGACTTTGTCGATGATTTTCTATCATTTATTTTTGTGCCACCTCCAGATTTTGATATATTTTAGACAATATAATTATCTATATTCTGGCCAAGTTTAAAAAAATTCTACCGTGTAGTTTTTTATTTATAAGGCTTTGTTTGTTTTAGAACCGGAATTCTTAACGTAATTATATAAGATCATATTACATGCATTCGTGTCATCCGACTTTGTCGATGATTTTCTATCATTTATTTTTTTGTGCCACCTCCAGATTTTGGATATATTTTAGACAATATAATTATCTATATTCTGGCCAAGTTTAAAAAATTCTACCGTAGTTTTTTATTTATAGGCCTTTGTTTGAAAAATTACATGGATATGGAAGTTAATTATATAAGATTATATTACTCGCATTCGTGTCATCCGACTTTGTCGATGATTTTCTATCATTTATTTTTTGTGCCACCTCCAGATTTTGATATATTTTAGACAATATAATTATCTATATTCTGGCCAAGTTTTAAAAATTTCTACCGTGTAGTTTTTATTTATAGGCCTTTCTTTGAAAATTACATGGATATAGGAAGTTAATTATATAAGATTATATTACGCGCATTCGTGTCATCCGAATTTGTCGATGATTTTCTATCATTTATTTTTTTGTGCCACCTCCAGATTTATGATATGTCATAGACAATAAGAATATCTACAATATGGCCAAGTTTAAAAAAATTCTACCGTGTAGTTTTTTAGCTATAGAGCTGTTTGTCGAATGTGGTGCCAACTTCACGGTTTATACCAGAGTACATTCTCAAGGAATATTATTTCTTTTATTTTTGTGCCACCTCCAGATTTTGGATATATTATAGACAATAAGAATATCTACAATATGGCCAAGTTTAAAAATTTCTACCGTGTAGTTTTTATTTATAAGGCTTTGTTTGTTAAAGAACCGGAATTTTAACTTAAATATATAAGATTATATTACGCGCATTCGTGTCATCCGACTTTATCGATGATTTTCTATCATTTATTTTTTGTGCCACCTCCAGATTTTGATATATTTTAGACAATATAATTATCTATATTCTGGCCAAGTTTAAAAAATTCTACCGTGTAGTTTTTTATTTATAGGCCTTTGTTTGAAAAATTACATGGATATAGGAAGTTAATTATATAAGATTATATTACGCGCATTCGTGTCATCCGACTTTGTCGATGATTTTCTATCATTTATTTTTTTGTGCCACCTCCAGATTTTGGATATATTTTAGACAATATAATTATCTATATTCTGGCCAAGTTTAAAAAAATTCTACCGTGTAGTTTTTAAATTATAGGCTATTTAAGAGAAATGGAAAGTACACTGTAATATAAATCTTAGTGTTTTCTTCAATTTCTTGACTTTTATACATTTTTTGTGATGTTTAAGGACTGTAAAATAGTAATAAACAGTTAAGAATTATTTTTTACAGTTGTATTTGATGGAAAACGTGTTTTAAAGACGATTTTTTGAATTATCATTTTGAATGATAAATTTTAGTTGAATGTGGTGATGAATGTTGTGATGAATGTTGTGTTGAATGTGGTGCCCAATGTGGTGCCAATTTCACGGTAGTGTTACAGCCGTATAGGCATAATAAGGCATGTTGATTGAGCGAATTTGAAATTAATACATAATATTTTCTGAATCAAACTGTACCTTCCTTTCACAGAGACTTGTGATACAAAGAGTTGTAACATGTATTAGATAGAGATAATGGATATAAACCAGACTGGAAACTTTGTGCTGTGATTTATTTTGAGAATATTAGGTTTTTTATGTTTTGTGCAGAGTTAGAATCTTGGGAGCACAGTTTGTGGATTTTCCAGTCTGGTATATGAAGGCTCTTTATTTAATATGCTTAGAATCTCCTGATTTATTTGTAGGTCCACCTAGGTCTAGTTCTTGATGGCTCCCATTATGTTATTGACTGGCCATGAGGTTAGCAATCAAGTCAAACTTTATTTTTTTGTCTGTATTTTAAATTTTACCATTTAAATTTCAAAATATAGCTTACGGGTTGAACTTTCAAACAGTTTGATGTGGTATTCATATTTTGATTGTGATTTTTTCTAGAGTGAAGTTTTTACCACTGAATTTCATCCAGATGGGGATATCCTTGCCTCTGCCGGATTTGATCGCTTGATATGTAGGTTCTTTTAACTTTGTTCATTAGTTTTGCCCCTAATGTCATCCACCAACATCTTGGATAACTTATTCTAGAATAACTTATGTATTCTAAATGCACAAACCCAGAAACAAATTTTGGAATTTTATGGCTTTCCTCATCAAGTGCTATTTTAAGTCTTTTATATTAGTATTTGGGAACAGACCACTGGAGGATTTCAAAAACTAACTTTGGGAGTTATTAAATTTCTACATTATCAATTGTATATAATATATAATGGAAGGGACAACAGTTTTTGGTAGGCAAAGTTTTTCAGCCATTATATGGTCTTTATATTCTATTAACCAGATTTATGGAATGTTTACGTGAATGTGAAAATTTTGCTGTTTTAAAAGGACACACTGGTGCTATTATGGAACTTCATTTTAATATAGATGGAAGGTAATGAAGGCCAATGTAGTCATTGAAATTGTCAATCTAAAATGTTGTGGGAGTGGAGGAGGTGTTGAGTATCTATGTTGTTATGGGGGATTGGGATATTTAAGTATTCTTATGTTTTCTTGTATCCTTTGATCTTTTCATGCTCTGTATGGGAATCAGACAAATTTTTGTTATGTTCAAGATAGTCAAGAAGTATTTGAGAATGATATATTGATTTTAACTTCTAACTTTTCTTTTAGTATGATTTTTACTGCTTCAACTGATAAGACTGTTTGTTGTTGGGACTACGAAACTGGAAGTCGGTTGAAAAAATTCAAGGGGCACCAATCTTTTGTAAATTCGTGTTGTCCATCAAGACGGGGAAATCAAATGATTGTTAGTGGAGCTGATGACAGTACTATCAAGGTATTAATTTAACTTCTGTTGACCCATTTTTGAATATGTTTTCTTTGTTGAAATATTATGTTGGTTAATTTGTAATGGTTAAATTGCAAAATTGTGCTTCTAAATGTTGTTGATTAGTCATTTTTGGCGTAAATATAGATCGATTAATAAAAAACTTATCACCATTGAAAGTTTTTAAAATTAGTTTTTATTAAATCATATGAATATCCATGTTGTAGACATGGCCAGTTGGGCAATATTCAATGGAATGTACGTATGATATATAGGTGAACACTTTTGTAATTGAACATTGAAATTTACCAACTGCACACACCTCCCTTAAAATATTAGTCGTGTGCTTTCATGCATACATAAATGTGATACTGTATAGCATGAAAATATTAAGTTTTTTCATTCCCATTATAGTCCTAATACAAAAATTTTTTTATAGCTTTGGGACATTCGAAAAAAAGGAGCTGTTCAAACATTCCAGGACATTTATCAGGTATTGATGTTTTTGTACTTCCTTTCTCCCCAACCCGTTGTACTTTACTAAAGTCTTATATGTCAAAATAGGTCACAGCTGTTAGCTTCAATGATACATCAGATCAAATATTGTCTGGTGGAATTGATAATGAAGTAAAGGTAGTAAAAATGTTTTATATTACTCTAATATTGATTTTGACCAACAGCTAACATTTGTTGCAGCATTTAACTTGTAAGGTGATTTTTCACATCCAAGGTTTGCCAATTGGGAATTGCCAAGCTAAGAGATTAAAATTGTTGTTAATTTGAAGCTGATCGTGTATATAATTTTTCTCATGATGCTGTTCATGAACTACACGAAACTGATAAAATATTTTAAATATGCTTATAACTCTCAGTAAAGTTGATGTACGTATTCTAGTTCTCAATCATCGTAGTTTCCCCGTTGTACACTCTGATCAAAATTACCCCCAATGTGTGGGACAGATGTTGCAGTAAAATGTTTTCTTTCGCTGACGTTCGTGTAAATTTTTAAGGTTTGGGATTTACGTAAAAATGATATTCTTTACAAAATGCCTGGACATACTGATACCATTACGGGATTCAAACTGAGTCCAGATGGATCATTCCTCCTTTCAAATGCTATGGATAACACAGGTTTGTTTTTGATTAAAGTATATCCTATTTGGAAGTTGACAAAAATCTTACACCGACAAATTTGTGTTCACTTTTATATCGTCTTTTTGTGTCAATTACGTCTGTAGCTATATGAAGTGTTGAACTTTCGAAAATGATCTACAGGGATTTTTGTGAAATGAATCAAATTGTTGTTGTTCCTAAAGAACTACGTACGCGTTGTTTTATATGTTTCCTTAAATTATTTTAGTTCGTATTTGGATGTTAGACCATATGCTCCTGTTGAACGATGTGTGAAAGTGTTCATGGGCGCACAACATAATTTTGAAAAGTAAGAGATGACGTAGCCATATTTATACCTTCGATCAACAAGTGTATGGGACTGATTATGCAGTCATTGTATACTCCAGTCTAGTGTCTCATCTGAAGTGATATGGTGTCAAAACGGTGTTTAGCTTTGTATTCTTGTATCATGTATTAGTTCAGTAGTAACATAAGTTGTGATATAATATTTCCTTTCAATTTTATCATTTCGTATGGATTTAACTATTATTCAAACTTGAGTGTATATGTGCATTCTTCATTAGCGTTTCTTTTAAATTAGCTATTTCACTATTTAGAATTTAATAAAATGCTCCTGGTCACCGGATGGTAAAATGATAACATCTGGGTCAGGTGATAGGTAAGCTCTGTTGTTTATTTGTATCATAGGAAGAGCAATTGTCAAATGATGAAGTCTGTCCATAAAGAAAATAGCCAATTGTCTTCAAAACGGTTAACTTAGGGTGGTGGTGTTGAAAATGTGATGGCTCGATCGGAGGCAGGTTGTTCACCAACAGCAAACACCAATGTAGCTTCAATAGGAGAGATTAATCTATAGAAAATACCTTCTACTTTAAGAAAACGACCAATCAAAAGTGTCTACACGCACTATTGTGTCATCCTTCTTTTAATCTTGCGATCCAATTTCCTAGGTTTGTCTACGTGGGACACCCAATCACGAAGGATATTATATAAGTTACCAGGTCACGATGGTTCCGTCAATGATGTGGATTTTCATCCGAAAGAACCAATATGTAAGAACTAAAAACTATTTACAGTGGCGAGTTTTTTCTTATGCACAAGTTATATAACAAGTTTTTTTTTGTACATAATTGGATTGTCATTGATTGGTTACTTAATTTCATATTTTAGTGTTATCTGTTGGAAGTGACAAAAAGATTTATCTTGGAGAGTTACATTTGCGGTAATACTGAACTTGCAGTAAACAAATACAAATACATAGAAACCCGTGGATGCGGAAATCACCAGATCAGATGAGTTGATGGAATGTTTGCTAACTTATACTGTTGCTTGAGTAGAGCTGTAATTTTTTAGTTTTACTCTTAAATGCTCCGGCAGATAGCCAATCACGATTGCCCAATATCTAGTGATGACGACATTGGGACATCCATGATGCATATGATTTTTATTGCTTACTTGAAGTACCACGTCTACAACCGTATCTCTTGTACACTTAAGGCTATGTACGTTTATTTCTTTTGTCAACGGTCCAATACACTCCAGCTATATTGTAAAGGTACATTCTTGCATAGTATTTTTTATTATTTCATATAATGTTGATACATGACAGTGAACGTTAAAATGAAGCCTTGCTGTGCTTGGCATGCGGAAGGTTTCCACTTAATAATTTTAAGTTTTTCGTTACAAATACAGTGTCGACCTGTTGTATATAGTTTTTTTGTGCCAATGAAGCAAAAAGTAGTTAGTTTTCTTTTGCATCTCAGGAGAAATCTCTTCCAGGCATGACAATGGGTGCAACCATCGACCATAAATACAGGCCCAAGCAACACCAACTTGATGCCATTTTTACCCACACTGAAGCCATGTTACTGTTCAGAGTTGTAATATCGGCATGTTGAGGGCTACAAGAAGACGAAAATGGCAATTTAGCGAGCATTGTCTCCTTATGTTCGAACGGTTTATCATGTTTTTGTATAAAATTGTTTTGCAAAAGTAAGAATATGTCTTGCGTGGCAATGTTCTTCATTCAGGAAAACATCTCCTAACAAACACCATACATTAAATAAACGTCACCATTGTTGGGTTATTGGTCGATAAGTAGAAGTAGAAGCGAATTTTTAGGGATGTTCACGCCCATGAGGTATTTTTATACATACATGTACTAATTTGTACATACCTGTACCAATTTGTCAACACCATCATGATATATAGAGATGCTAGTAGAAATGTAAAATGAAAGAATGAATAGTTGTATGTAACACCAAGTGCTTCGTCGTCATGAACATTTTGATATTTTTGTTCGCCTTTTTCAGGATCTTCGTTTCTGTCCGCATTTTCTTCTGTAGTGTGAGACAAAACAAACATTGTGTTTTAAACGCAAGGTTTTTCGTTTCAATTACCAGATATGTGTATGGTGAACGTAAAACATACTCTTACCTTCGCCATAATCTGGTAAAAGAACTTCCTGGGAAATACAGAAAATAACATGCGAAAATGAACTTCGCGAAAAGAAAATATATTCATTCCACAGTTGAGAGTTTATATACGTACCTCCATTTCCGTATTTCTTGTCATTCCTATTTCACCAAGACGGGATGAACTGCTTGTTCTCAGACTAAAAATTACCATGTTTATACATTAAAAGCAATCGTTTATCACGAAGAAAAGGCGACGTTTCGCAAATTATTATTATGAATAATTGCTCGTGGATTTGGGTCCCTGTTGCTTTAGATCAGGGGTCTCCAAACTTTACAGCCAGAGGGCCACATGAACTTTCATCCAGCATGTTGAGGGCCGAAGAATATAAAAAATTTCCATGTTATCCTTCAGCTTTTTAAATTTCACAATGTGCTTGAAACGGAAGTAGGAAGTTGGGAGAAAAATTGACGTAAGCCACTCTTGCTAGTTGGCTTGCGACATAACGTGAACTTTCTGCACAAAGTTTATTTTGTTTAATAATAATATTATTTTTTCTTAAGTGCCTCTGCGGGCCGGATTGAGAGGCCCAACGGGCCGCATCTGGCCCGCGAGCCGTAGTTTGGAGACCCCTGCTTTAGATCATTAATTCCTTTCACATTAGACTGTTATTATGTCTGGAAATTTATCTAGGATCTAATGAGAAAGCTTATTGTGTCTACCAGGAATACACGACCATCACAAACATAAGGAGTGCGGCAAAAACGGAGTGACTTTGGAATCCAGACGATATGCCTGTATTGCATTCCTCGTCTGTGAATGGAAAAAAATTGTGAAACGTTATAACAATCATTGAAGTAGAATGCTTTAAGAATAATTGACCTGGCCATCTTTAGAAACATGTATTCAAGGTTTTAGTATGGTTTACTTGGTAAAATTGAGTTGTCCCAACTAGGTGAGTTTAAAGACTGACATCACATTTACATTAACTTATATTTTTTGTTTGTAACCATGTATGTAAACTTTACATTTCAGTATTACCTTGCTGTTAGCAAAACAACACATTCAAAATATATGAACTTACCTGGATTGTTTGAGATTGAAGACCAAGTCAGGTATGTTGTATACAAAGTGATTATTGAAGCTTGAAGCAACCCTGAGTTTGGTTGACCTATTGAGTTTATAGAAATATGTATACATTAATCATTAAGAACTTCACTCAAGCAGAACTTTGACTAACAAAATCCATCAATAGTGGTTTGTTTTCAATAAGGATGGTATAAGAAAAATCTCTATTGCCAATACCTCCAAATGATAATATCTCTAAGAAATTACAATTTTAAGCCTCTTCTTACCTTCTTGCACTTTTGGTAAGATAGCAACAACAGAAACCAGTAATGATAGGCACAAATTGAAACTGACAAAAAATTTGTTCAGACCACAACCAGATGTCTAAATATAAACAATACTTTATTTAAAAATATTCCATGGCATTTGAAGTTTTCTGTGACAAGACTAATGTGGCACAAATGTAACAATATGTCGTACCTTGGTATAAAATACAAACAGAAGTATGTATCCAATCAGTGAAATCAGGTACATAGCTCCAGTTGCAATGGCAAGACCTGTTGTTAAATGATAACAATAATACACAGACCTGTACAAATTTCTTTGTGTGTGCTAATTGTAATATCATCTTACAATCAAGGTGGTTTGATCATGTATGAGTGCACAAAGAAGCTATTTCTTTGAATAGATGTTTTGCAATCCAAAGCAAATGGTCTTATGTTTGAAATATCTTGAAATTTAATGGCTTATGATGGTAAACAATAAGAGAATTAACTCATTGCAGCAAAAAAACTATGGATGTAATATTTTTCACTACTAAATTCTGTCCAGTTAAATATGCTTTGCATACCATAGACATATTTTTTTTGGCCATTTACTTCCCATTTCTCCATCCTAAATTCCAGAAAATTTACAAAAAACCTTCAATCACAAGTATACATGATCTTTAAATTTCTAGCCAATCCAGCATTGTGTTTACTGAATTGAATAATTCTTTTCTTACCATGATTGATTCCATTTATAAGCAAAATCAATCAGTAGTATGAGCTGGATGAGAATGAAAATGAATCCACCAAAAAGTCCAATGTACATCCAAGCTACAACAACACAAAAATATTCATCCATGAGGCCTAAATCTAATCACAGTTGTACATTAAATCGGTCAATATAACCTTGGACAAATTTGCCTTTTGGAATAAAGAATGCAGCTGTGATCAAGCCAAGATACAAAAGAATTTTCACAATCCAAAACCTATGTTACAAAAAACAGATTTTTTCAAAGGAAAAAACAGATTTTTTCAAAGGAAACATTTATGTTACGTGGCTGATGAGAAGGTTTCAAAAATGAACCTTCAATAATGTATATATGTCAACGATGTCTATAGTTT